GCTGCTTCCTTTAGCTCTCTATGCTGCGAGGAGGGGGAGAGAGGAGGGAGAGAAAACTTTGTGCATTGTCCCTCACCCCCAGCAAAATCTCTCAGCTCCTATTGGCTAGCAATCATCAATGGGAGCGGAGAGATTTTACAGGGTGTGGGGGCAGCACATGAGCTATCCTCTTCCTCCAACAGCACAGAGAGCCACATGGAACAGACTGGTCTGGGCTGCTGGCAGGCAGGGAAGCCTGCTTGAGAGTGCTGCTGGCTGGGAGCTGTTTAGTTAAGTACCTCCTGGCCAGAGCTTGCCTCTGGCACCCCACTCCCTCCCACACCCAACTCCCTTCCAGACTCTGCACCCCTTCCTGGGGCCCTCCCCAGACCAGAATCCTCTCCTGTATCCACACTCCCTCCCAGATCCTGCACCCTAATTTCCTGCCCCAGGTCACAACCTCTCCGTTACCCGAACTCCCTCTCAGACCCCAGGCCCTCTCCAGCACCCCAGACTCCTATTCCGAGCTCCCTGCTGCACCTAACCTCCATCCCAGACTCTATACCTCCTCCATAGAACAGTGCGCTCTTTGACTTTTACCAAAATCTTAGAATGGCACCCACCCAAAAATTATTGCCCACTTCTGGTATAGATCAGCTATAAATAAAGACCCAGTCCTCCAATTGGCCTAGGCAGCTGGAGGGGTTGGCTCACATAGTGAGCCCCATGATCAGACCTAAACTATTATTTGCCTTCTAAGGCTACATCTAGACTGAAAGCTTCTTTCAGAAGGAGCTTTTCTGGAAGAGATCTTCTGGAAAAGTTTATTTCAAAAGACAGCATCTACACAGCAAAAGTGCAACAAAAAAAGCGATGTGCTTTTTCAAAAGAGAGTGTCCACATTGATTGGATTCTATCTTTTATTTAAGTTGTGATTAGTCTGGATGGAGTGGCCACAAAGGTACCTGTGTTATTTCCTGGAGGCCTTTTCTTTTGAAAGAAAAACCCTCCTCCTCATCCACACATGCCTTTTTCTGAAAAAGCTTTTTTGGAAAAAGGCTTCTTCCTCATAGAATGAGGTTTACCACCGTCAGAAAAACCCCTCCGTTCTTTCGACTTTTTGTCGAAAGAACTCAATGGCAGTGTGGACGCAAGTATTGATTTTCCAGAAAAATGTCCATTTTCCCAGAAAAACCCTGCAGTGTAGACACACCCTAAGTGTCTCTCCGCTGGAAAGGACTTGGAATTGCCTCTATTAGTCAGTTTGCCAGGCCTCCATTTTTATAATATGGTACTTTTCTAATGTAGTGGAGTGTTGTACGATGCAGTCACAAATTTGAATAGTTTTTATAATAAGGGATTTGTTGTTTTAATGGATGCCCACTAAAAAGGCTAAACTAGCTGGGTAACAAGTGGAATTTTCCTTGTCACAGGAATTGAACACTAGTGAAAGATTGTAAAGGATCTGCCTAGTTGTGAATATTATTTCATTCATTTTTCTATTCTTTATTATATGTTACAGAGGGGCTCATGCTGAAAAATGGTTTGGAAACATGAGAGTTGGGGGTGGGGAGGGTGTTCTGAACCACATTTTAGTTTTACTCCGTAGAAAAACAAAAAGGCCTGTTTGCAAAATTTGGATCTTGGATCATTATTTTTAATTTCTCTTGGTATTTATTACTTGTATGGAAGTGCCATCTAGGAGCCCCATTGTGTGAAGTGTTTTATAAATAGTGAACAAAAAGATAGACCCTGCCTCAAAGAGCTTAAGATGAGACAATAGATGGTCTGGATTCTGATTTCCTCTCCTCAGCATTCAGACCTATGGTTTTAATTCTGTTCCATCTTCAGTAAATATATGAGCTGGCTTTCCAAGATGCTGAGCCATTGCAGCACTAGTTGTCTTCAATAGGATCAGTGGAACTTCTGAAAAATCAGGTTTAGAATCCTTAGTTGTGAACTATTGTAGGTGGAATTGAAAAGAAACCACTTTATGCAATCAGATTTTTCAAATATGGTATCCAAAAGAGGTTGTTTCTCACAGCGTATAATTATTATTATCCTGCTACTGTTGTGCACTACACCTTTAAATCTCATCAGACTCTGCTTGTCTGCATCTATTTTGTGTTCAGGTCAGTACAGAAGGTTACAGAACAGATGCACACTCAGCTGACCACAAAATGGCTGCCAATCTCATGTAAAAGTTACATTTTGTCAGCTTGTTCACTTCACTCATCCGGAATCATCAGTTTACTCTTAATATTTATAAAATATGAAAAAATATTTCAGAGAAAAAACAAAGGGGGGAGAGGGAGTGTAATTGACCAGTGTCATGGTCATATGTTTATTGTTAACCAAGAAAGCTGACTAATAAAAAATATTTCAGAGAAAAAGCAAAGGGGGGAGGGGTAGTGTAACTGACCAGTGTCATGGTCATATATTTATTGTTAACCAAGAAAGCTGACTAAATGAATTTGTGAGCAAATTTTGTGATAACACTATCAAATAATTAGATTGTCAGTTCTTTGGGGGCAGTAATCATCTGTTTGTTGTGTATTGTAAAGTACTGCTGTGACACTTTGTTCCTCAAAACAGTACCTTTGAAACCCAAAATTCACCACTGTCATATAATTATGATATGCTTTGTCCAAAATATGCCTTGTGAGACATCATGTTAAAAGTCTTGATGTGCTGAACATTAATATCCTGTTGGATTGCGTGTTCTAGTATTGTACATAAAGTTATGAAATGCTGCTGTGTATGTTATTAGAATATGTTGTGAGGTTGGGAACATCCACAAACAGCCTTTCAGGTGCAGAAGCTATGAACACGCTTCAAGACATTCCCCCTATTTTCTTGGAGATTTCTTGGAAGAGGCACATACACTGTTGGGGTGGATTAATCCCTTCAGCAAAGATCTTTCCAACAAGCTAGAGGAAAGTATAAAAAGGGGAAGTGATATCATCACTTGGGCTCTCCCTTTGATTTACTGCCTGGAGGAATGTCTAGAGGACAAAGATTTTGAAGTGGGGAAGGGTGGTCCCAGCCGTGTCCCTGCTGCTCTGCCCCTACCTTGCGCTACTCGCACACACTGTGTACTCACACCTGCTGGAGAGCACTGTGGGCCCTGATAAGACACTGCCTCGATTCCACACTCAGCCCTTGGGCCACTAACTTATTCCCAATTGCCTGATAAGACACTGCCTTGATTCCACACTCAGCCCTTGTTCCGCTAACTTATTCCCAATTTGGAACAGCATCTGGCTGCCAGGCAGGAAGGACTGTTACAATAAATAAACCCTGTTACAGACACTGGAGCTGGGTTTTGGGCTCTGCCCCAGTGGGATCAGCCCAGGGGGGTGGGACTAGGCTGCTCTCCTGTCCCAGTCAGGGGACTGGGGAAACCTGAGCCAGCATTGTCACCAGCTGCAGGGGAAGGTGTGGCTCGGGGCTGCCCAGCACTTGGAAGGGGGACCTACCCTGGTTGACTGCGGGCAGTGCCGGGGGAGGGAGAGGTTCTGTCTTGGCTGTGGAGGAAGGGAGCTGGAAGGAGCTGTCCTGGGTGGGGAGAACTGCCTTGGCTGGGGTGGAGCAGAGAGAAGCTGCTCTCCTGGCTGGGGGAAATTGGATCTGGGGGCCCCCGACATTACCATCCCCATACAGGGCAGTGTGGGGAGGGGCAGCTGAAGAGCCAGCACTTGACAGCTTCCCCACCAAACCAGTCAGGATCATATGTCAGAGGCTCCAAGATCTACCAGTAGATCCTGATCTACTGGTTGGTGACCACTGTCCTAGATGCTAATACAATACAAACAAACAAGTACATAATAATGATTATTTTAGGCTGTATTCAACCACATATATCCTGGTAGAGTTTTCTTTATGGAACAGTTTATTTGATATATACTATCAAAATCAGTCACATAATTTAGTGGACAACTCAAGTTGCTAACTATTCAGCGAGCTCTAATTATAAGGGATTTGGAGTTGTACTTTCTATAGTGCTTAAATGTGCAAATCAGAGAAAACAGGGCAAAGGAAAATACAAATCAACAAAAGGCAACTTGTTCTCTGCATATTAGATATTTCAGAAGGATTTGGGTAGATTATGTATTTTCATAGTTTTCTCAGGCCAATCAGTTTCAAGCAGCATGAGCAACCAAGGAACCAAAGAAATGACCAAAAATAATTCTAGACAGTTACAAAACTACATCTTTCAAGGAAACACAATACAAAACCAAGAGCAGCAAGAGAGACTTTATAGAGCAGCTTGTGGCTGTAGTAATTCATCACAGGAAAGAATTCAGCCAGTTTAAAAATAGAAGCTGTCAAGTGAACCAGGGCATATTGGAGCTGCATGGGCGGCTGACAGCTCTATACCTGAAATGCTAAAATGGAAAGACACCCCTTATCTAGTGTCAAAGGAAGGCCAGCTGGTATAGATGAAGCACTTTAGAAACCTGTGACTGGGTCAATTTGAATCTTTCCTTTCAAGGGAAGTTGGAGGTGGTCAGTGGTCTATTCAGTCCCCACAGCAGCCCCGAATCAGAAGGATGCAAAGCTGGCTTAAAGCCACTATCACCTTCACTTGCCACAGACAATGTATTCTGGTGCAGCACGGAATCTCATCCTCTGTGCTGGAGGATGAGGTGTTGATTTCTGTGCACTTAGGATAGTGATAGAAATGTAGCCGTGTTAGTCTGGTGTAGCTGAAACAAAATACAGGACTATGTAGCACTTTAAAGACTAACAAGATGATTTATTAGGTGATGAGCTTAGTCTATGCTACTCCACTCCCCACCCCGTCGATTGAACCTATCCAATTTTAGCTAGGTGAATAGCATAGCTGAAAAAGCGGCGAGGAGGGTCTGACGAAGTGGGTCTTTGCCCACGAAAGCTTATGCTCCTACACTTCAGTTAGTCTATAAGGTGCCACAGGACTCCTCGCCGCTTTTGCAGATTCAGACTAACACGGATACCCCTCTGATACTTGACTGCATAGCTGAAGTTGATGTACTTACCATGGTGTTTTCCACACAATAAGATCACGGGGGCTGCTCTCTCGTTCATTCTGACCACTCTTGTCCTGATGGAATCGATCACCAGTGAATCGATCACTGCAGCATTGATCCACCCTCAAGTGTAAACATGCCCTTTCAGCCTGATCTGAGTCTTTCCATTGGCTTAACGGGCTTTGGATCAGGTCCTTAACTGTGGAAAGTATAAATAAAAAAGGCTATTCAGAGAGCCATCATTCCATTAAGTAACAGCTGTCTCTGGCAGCTTCCAGAGATCTCAGTAATGAGGTTATCAAACACGGAGATGTGGTTCATGCCTTCAGAGTCTATTTTGATGCCCCTTCTTCCCACCAGCTTAATATAGAAACAAAAAATATTTCTTCTTGCTGCTACAATGTCTTCTTAGTCTCAAGTTTCTGAGGGATTTTTCCCCTTTATCTTATTGCAAACATTGAATATTGATGAGTATATGTGTCTAATACATTATGTTCACAGCATATGCACTAAGATGTTAGATAAAACATAAATAATTATTATTCTAGAAAGTTGCAACATAACCCTAGAATTCAGAATGATAACACACCCGAATCAAAAAACATACACAGAGAGAAAACAGGCAGATCCCTAAGGCAGAGAGCTACAGGTTGAACCTCTCTAGTCCGGCATTCTTTGGTCCAGCAATATCTGTGGTTGGCATGATTTTAGTTAGCCATATGTTTACTTATAATGAGTGTAGCCAAGTTTTCCATAGTCCCATAAAGTTAGTTTACACTACAGCCACCAGTCCTGGCTCCCAATGTTCTATGCTGTTATTTAACTCTAATTATCCTATAAGTGTCTTCTAGAGCCCAGTAAGCAGTGGAAGGGTTGATAATGTTGCTGGACAACATTGACTTCCCATGGTCCGGCAAATTCTCTGGTTTAGCACTGGTCTGGTCCTGAGGGTACCAGAGAGGTTCAACCTGTAGCTCTCTGCCTTAGGGATCTGCCTGCTTTCTGTCTGTGTATGTTTTTTGATTTGTGTATGTTATCAGGCCTGGCAATGGGGAGGGAGCAGGCAAAGAGAGCAACTGCCCTGGGACCTGGCGATTCAAAAGGACCTGGGATGCCCAGCTGCTGTTGCTACTGTGGGAGCGGCTGGAGCCCTCGGCTTTTTAAATCACCCCTGAAGCCATGTGCAACATATTCCAGGCAACTCAGAGGGCTAGTGAGAGAGGGCATGGCAGGGCCGGGGCAGAGCTGAGAGCTGGTTGTCCAAGCTCTGTCGCTTCTGCCAGAGGCCCCACCCCTTCTAGGAATGTGTTCTTTCATTCATCCTAGAGGCAGAGTTTACACTTTAGGAGCTGATGTAGCAACCAGAGAATCCCAGCCATGGAGCCTTGAGAGTTCTATTGCATTCTGTTGTAATTTTTCCAACTTAATTTTTTTATTGTTGTTTTAATTCAAACCCAGCTAATTAATTTAATGGAAAAAACAGGAGTGAGAAAATAGAATTAAAGAACACAGAAAATTCTTTTTAGGCTTTCTATAGCTTGGACACGTCTGAATGGAATTTGTGAAATCTCTTTCCCAACCAAGTTTCTGGAATGACATATTCACCTTGATTAGCGAGAGTGGTTCCTGACAGACATTCTGACAGTACCTCTACTTTAGGAGTGCTCATTATCTGACACTGTATGAATAAGGTGTTTTGTTTGTTCTAGCTGGTGGGATGAGTTGGAATTGGCCACACCAGAATCAGAGCCACATTTAATATCTGTCACAATTAGATACTAAATTATATATAGACACTGATTATCCAGAGAGACAGAACCTTTTCAAACCTTGCCTACTGACAGCTAGTGGCAGAAAGATGGATGATATTGTGCTCTGAATTACCCAAAGTATCAATTATGACTATTTTCAGAAATGGGTCCCTGACCTGAACCCATGGTCAGATATACACTGACGTCAGTGGAAATTGGACTGTGCCTCTGATTTCCATACAAAATTATAAATTATGACAGCATCTAGATTAGGTATTTGCAAGCAGTGGTGTGCATTTACATAAATAACCTGTCATTTGCACATACACATACTCAATTGGTGTGCCCAGTCATAGACTGTTGCAGAGCAATCTCAACTAATGATATTACATTGAAGACCTTCTTTGCACACAGACAGCATCATGCAGCCACTGAGGAGAACAGAGAAAGAGACAACTGATATGTTGTACTTGCTTTTCATCCTTTCTGTAGTGGAGGACTGGTCACAATACTCCAAATGGGGCCTCACCAATGCTGAATAAACAGGAATAATCACTTCTCTAGATCTGCCGGCAATGCTCCTCCTAATGCATCCCAATATGCCATTAGCTTTCTTGGCTACAAGGGCACATTGTAGATTCATATCCAGCTTCTCATACACTCTAATCCCCAGATCCTTTGCTGCTGACATGAGGTTTGAAAAGCAGCACAGTGGGGCATGCAGGAGAAAAAATGCAAGTGGCTGCTAGTGAATTAGTGGGTGATCCATGTCATGGCAGAGTGGGGGAGGGAAGAATAGTATGCAAACTACAGGAAGAGAAAAAGCTGAGTAGATTGAAGACTGCGAGGAAGGGGGAACATAGAGAGGGGAATATAAGAATAATATATAATTCAAGGCCAATATAATACAGTAAAAGAACAAAAAGTGAACCATGTAGGGAGAAATACATTTGGCGTTCGCCACTTCTTTATGCTGTTTAAAGGCAGATTCAACTAATTGTTTTCAAAATTATTCCACTTGTGTTTTAGATTCGTAGATTCCAAGGCAAAAAGGGATCATTGTGATCATCTAGTACAGTGGTCCCCACCCTTAACTTAAGGGCAACCCAAGATCTACCCTACCCTTCGCTGAGGCCCTGCCCCTTCCCTGAAGCCCCGCCCCATTCACTGCTTCCCCTCCCCCCCGCATTGCTCACTATCCTCCATTTTTCACTCACTTTCTTTCACCAGCTTGGGGCAGAGAGTTGGGGTTCAGGAAGGGGTGTGGGCTCTGAGCTGGAGCCGAGGGTTTCGGGTGCAGGCAGGGATGAGATATGCAAGCTGTGAAAGGGAGTTTGGGGGCCCTGGGCAGGAGCAGAGAGTTGGGGTGTAGGACGGGTTAAAAGCGCATCACAAAAGCTATGTGCTTTTGCACAAGAGAACATCCACACTGCATGGACGCTCGAGCAAAAAAGCTCTGATGGCCATTCTGTTAATGGCAATCAAAGCACCTGTGTTTTTTCTGATAGGCTCTTTTTGCACAAGAAACCCCTGTTGAGCATCCCCACACACACCTTTTTGTGTAAGAGTTCTTGTGCAAAAAGGCGTGTGTGGACGGGGAAGAGGGTTTTTGTACAAGAAGAGGGAAGAGGAAAAAGCACTGGTGGCCATTCTGTCCATAGCAATCATTGCTCACTTGCAAGAGAGCATCCAGGCAGTCTGGACGCTCTCTTTCGCGAAAGCGCATTGTTTTTTCAATGCACTTTTGCAGCGTGGATGCTCTCTAGTGCAAGAAGTTTTGCGGAAGATCTTTTCCGAAAAAAGCTTCTTGCATGAAAAGCCTGCAGTCTACACATAGCCAGGGGGTTGAGGTGCAGGAGGAGGTAATGGGGTGCTGGCTCCAGGAGTGGGGTTGGGGTGTGGGCTCTCATTGCACAGCAAATACTGCAGGCAGCTTCCAGTTGGTGGTGCAGTGAACCTCAGGCAGGATTCCTGCCTTCCCTGGCCCTATGCTGAGCCTGGGAGGGGCCAAAGTGCCCCATGCTGCCTGAGAGTGAGGCAGTGCCTGTAGGCAGGAGCAGCACACTGAGACCCCTGCACCCCTCTCCCATGGGCTGCTGTTTCTGGGAGTGGTATGGGGGCAGGGCAAGCAGGAAGCTAGTCTGCACTAGCAGCAGCCCTACTGTCCTGCCAGAGATCATGATTGACTGGGAAAGCCCCCAGCTGTAACCCCAAAGTTGTTTGAAGAAAGTGCTTAGTGGTTTCTCACAAGGCCCCTTCACAAGGCCAGGATCCACAGCCTATTAACATCAATTAAAATACTCTTGTTGATGTCGCCTGCCTATATTGCATTGCAAGATCAAGGCCTAAGTATGATCTGAAGAAGCGGGTCTGCCCCACGAAAGCTCATCACCTAATAAACTATTGTGTTAGTCCTTAAAGTGCTACATGGCTGCTTTTTTGTTTTACTGAGTAGGGAGGGACAGCTACAGCTGAAGGTTTCATGTGACATCACTGTGCAGGTTCTCCAGAGATCCTGTTTTCTGCAGGTTGGAAAGGAAAAGCAGGGTCCTGATATGTATTTCAGATGTAACAACAACAAATGAAGCAAAAACAAATATTTTTGATAAAGTCTGATGTTCTTTCATTCATCCTAGAGGCTGAGTTTACACTTTAGAAGCTGATGTAGCAACCAGAGAATCCCA